CTTGTTGTACTTCGTTCAGTTACGTATTGCTTTACATAAATAACCTTATGTTGAATATAATTTAAATTATTCGCCGATTTTGTTTTGTTGCGAAAAGAACCAAAGACGCTTTATTTACATCATATATTAATATCGACATATTAAGTTTAAATATGTATATCTTCATTGAAAAATGATAAATTAAGCATTGTGCCATTAACCACAATCTGAATGCAAATGTGCAGTAAATTACTAAAATATTACGTTATGGGATATATATCCATGCGCCTAATTTTGGTAACACCCACTACGTCTACGTTTACCATGTCATAAACCCTCGTCATCCAATAGTGGTGTACAATTCAATATGTCTCGACCGTTGACAGCGACAGAACGTTACATAATTATTGATAAAGATGCCGTAAAATTATACTATATATTTATTATTTTAGTCATGCCTCGTTAAGTCATTACTCACACAGACATTGTGAGACGAATCCGTATACAAATAACATTTATTTATAAATTATGAACAAATAAATACTTATATAGTAGGTATAATCTCATTATAATAAATAACTAATTTTAATTAAATTGTTTTATATTTTGGGATTTTGAATTTGTCATCTCATTGTCACCACCCTAACATAACCACTAGTTATAATCACTCTAAATTCGACATTCATATCCAAATCTTCACGTGTCAAAAGTATCCAGAAATCTTATTAGATAATTAAACTATATCATTTTCTGCATCGTAAAAACTTGATTGTTTTAAAAATATTTGTGCATCAATTGATTGGTTTATGCGAAACGAGATGGTCAGATATGAAAATGTGCAGTTTATGCAAGATATGCATAACATTATTGATGCCATTATTAGAAATTACATCATGGAAGACTTGAATAGCACAAAAGCTAAATCCTAGCAACAGTATTATGTGACAGTGAGGTATTGTTTCACTTTGTAGTCCTCTCTCACATAATAACTTAGCCTCTTCAACTAGTAAATGTTTCAAAAAGTCTATTGATTTACGTAAACAGCCATGCATAATAGAAGAGATACACTAAAAATATTCTGTCCGGAAATGCTGAGAAAATGTTTCACCACTCAGGTTTTAAAAGTTTACTAAATCGTCCGAGAGTATATTAAACTCAAAAAGTTAATTTGAAAATTAAAGGTATTAAGACAATAAATCGTGCAAATTATCAAACAAATAGTACAGAAGAATATTATAAGTCGCTTATTCCGTGATGAATATTGTCGTTAATGATTTAAAAGCGTTTTCACAAAAACACTAGAGTGCTTCCAGTATCTTTCCTATACTTCCCCATGGTTTATAAATGAAATACAACTTCATATTCATTAAATAAATCAGAAATTATCTTAAAACATTAACAGACGATTTTCAAGCACTTCTTCAAATGATAAAGGTATGGTATTTATTTTATTACGTTCAGAGTTTGGATTATGGAAACTTAAAAATGGGTCGTGAAAACTTGGCTGTTTTAGTAAATTCATGTGTGTTACAGAAATACTTGCAAAATGTGACGAAAGAAATATTCCGTTAATCAATCGCCTTTTGATCATTTTGATAACTCTTCTATAAGCAATGCAAGTGCGCTGAGAGAACGTTTCAACACTACGAAGACTCAAAACATGGCTGAGATCAACAATGTCAGAGACCAGATTATCTGGACTTGCTCTTTTAAATATCCACCGTGATATTGATGTAGACGTGAATAATGTTATTGACATGTTTTCAAAAACCAACAAAAAATTAGATTTTGCTCTATAATTTTTATTTTTATTTCATATTTAATATTTTTTGATTGTTCTTAAATAAATCGTTTTCTTTTCAATGTTCCTACCTACGTTTTTTATATTTGTAGTTAAAAGTTTATTTCTTTACAGTGTTAAGAAATATTTATATGGCAAATTTGGTACCTAAAAATTATAATATAATAGAATTATTAAATTGTATGTATTATATTATGTCCAAATAAAAAATGCCCCCCCCCTAATAATTGATCTGGATCCGCGCCTAGTGGTTATTATTACTCCTATAATGCAAAGGGCTCATGAATTACCGTTTTCAAAGGATATAGCTTTTGTTGATAGTACATCTTCGTGTGATGCCCAAGGCCATTCAGTAACGTTTATGTTAACAGCGTGTGGCATTGGTGCGGTCCCTTTAGCCATTATGATAACCAAAAATCAATCAATTGCCGATTTTACAGCAGCATTTAATCTGGTTAAGACTTCTATTCCTAATGGTTTTGGAAACCAAGGTTTTCCATTACAATTTATAAGTGATGATAGTAATGCAGAAAGACAAGCATTAAAGTCTATATTCCCTGAGTCAAAATTATTATTATGTCGATTTCATGTTTTACAATCTGTTTGGAGATGGTTATGGGAAATAAATCACCAGATACAAAAAGATGATAGAAAAACATTATATTCGTTATTTCGTGCCATTTCAGAAGCATCAACACATGAGTTAGCCATGGATTCATTTAATAGCGCAATTGGTTTGATTTCTACTTCATTGAATGTTATTAATGGAAATAACATACCATTAAAATATCCCAAATGGATACAGTATGTTTCAAAATATTGGGATAGAAAAGAAATATGGTGTATGGCATTTCGAAACGCTTCTACACATGGACATCACACAAATAATTTTAGTGAAGTCAACGTACGGTTATTTAAAGATATTGTACTATCTCGAAATAAAGCATATGATGCTGTAGCGTTGGTTGATTTTGTTTACACAAGCATGGAAGAATATTATCAAAAACGTTTAAGAAATTTTGTTAATGGCAGAAATGATACATCAAGGTTTTTGTATGAAGATCAACTAAACAAAGCATCACATATTCATAAAGAAGACATAGAGGAATTATCTGATAACATATCCAAAATTAAATGGAAAAATGAAAATTTATTTTATGAGATTGATGGATCCGTTGGATTTTGTACATGTCCTAAAGGTAAAATAGGTGGTTTTTGTAAACACCAAGCAGCTGTGTATCACCATTTTGGACAAGTAATGCCAAATTTATCTCCAATAAGTGTTGATGCTCGCTATTCTCTTGCTAAATTAGCTGTCGGCCAGAATGTTGGACCTATATCATTTTATATGCCACTATTTCCTGAATTAAGTAACAACCAGTCATTAAATCAAGATATTAACCAAGAATCGACAATAATTCAAAATTCAAAAGAACCAGTAAATAGTAATAATATCCATCTTGCCAATGTCACACAAAATGAAGAGATTGATGAATATAAGAACCAAATTATTAGTTTAATTACTGATAATTTTAAAAAATATAACCGTGAAACATTTTCTGCTGTTCTACAAAAATGTATCGATAGGCTAAAAAAAGTTAAGTCTAGTAGAACGTGGGAGTCATTTTTAAGTACAGCTGGAAATAATATATCGTTAAGACACCGTACTCGAGCCACTATTCGTGTTCAACCAACAACTTTAAGTCGTAGAAAACCAGGCATAACACGAGGTAGCAAACGATTACCAGTTGGACGCCCATTAAATAGTGACAAGAAAAAAAAATTTGAAAGAAAACGAAATTTGGATGAAAATGTTAGGCTAAATGTACCAAACGCAAAATCTCATAAAGGTGGGTTTACACGAGACGTGAGCCACGATCGTGGCTTGTGGAATCGTGGTTCACACTCTGTGTAAACAGACAATTCGTAATTCACGATCGTGGTATTGTTATTCACGATTCTGTCACGACTGGTTCGTACAATATCAAACCTTGTTAGATATTTCAGTCGTGAAAGTTCAGTCACGGTGTACAATATAATGCATATTTATTTTTTAAATATTTATTGTTATTAAAATATATTATATATAATATAATATACAGGTAGGTAAATAATTATTTAATTTGAAAAGTACAAAAAGCATACGATATGAGTGGAAATAAGAATGTTATGAAAATGAACGATGAACAGACAATGAATTTCATAGATTATTACGAAAAGGAAGAAGTTTTATGGAACACAAAATTACAGGCATATCGAAATAGAGATGCTAGAGTCGAAGCTGTGAAAAGAATAGTATCAGCCATGAATATTGAAGGTTTGTTATTTTTCATTAATAAATATATTATATATATAATTAGTGACTAAAACGGAATGACGCATTAAAAATAGATTTTCAACAAATAATACAACCGGACATATTCATTTTTTATAGATAGATTAACAAATTCAATATTATATTTACTACTAATATATATATATTTATTTCAACTGATGAAAACAACTATTTTATTTTTTAAGGTTTTGGACCTGATCATGTGATAAGTAAATTTAAAAATTTAAGGAGTTCATATTGCCAAGAACTGAAAAAAATTGCAACTAGTGAAAAATCAGGAGCATCTGTAGAAGATATTTATGTACCACATGTAATCTGGTTTAGTAAAATGGATTCATTTTTAAAACCATATGTGACTATGAGAGATACATGCTCAAATTATGTAAGTATATTTAAATTTCTATTTATATAATGTATTACAAAATATAAAAATTGTATAAATAAATTATAAAAATATAAAAATTTATTTAATTAACTTCCACTGCCATGGAACAGCTCCTTCTCCGTTGAAATATGCACAATAGTCATCTCTAATTTTCTTAGCGTCTGTGCAGGCATTTCTGTTATTTGTTGGCACAAGTTTTGTCAAGCAACTTTGGTTTTGTCTCCATGTTCCATTTATGATTTCATAGTTGTAATCTTCATGGTCAATAAGACCCGGTGGTAAATAGGCTTGACTTGTTTTTCGTAACCAGTTATGTATTGCACAACATGCAAGAACAATCTTATCTACTTTATCAGCTATCAAGGGGATTTGTTTTTCAAAAATTCTGAATTTACTCACAAGTATTCCAAAAGCATTTTCTGATATTCGTCTAGCTCTGGACAATCTATAATTGAAAATTGCTTGTTCTCTTGTTAAGTTTCTTCTGCTATATGGTTTCAACAGATAGGTTTTGAGCGGGAAAGCATCATCAGCTACAATAACAGCATTTTCGGGGGTATTAAGTGTATTATTTTCCAATGCTTCAAACAAAGAACTTTCTCGAAATACACCAGCATCTGATGCTTTTCCATTTGCACCAACATCAATATACGTAAAACAGTAATTGTGGTCAACTAATGCTAATAATATAATGCTATATTGATGTTTGTAGTTGTAATACTCTGTTCCACTTTTAGGTGGTGCTTTAATTAGTATGTGTTTCCCATCCATTGCTCCGATACATCTAGGAAAGTTCCATCTATTTTGAAAGTTTTGTTCAATTTCATCCCACAACTTTCTTGTACTTGGTACCTAAGATGAAATATATTTTTCAGGTAACATCAAAAGAAAATAATAGTAAATATAATGAAAATACTGATCGTAAAAATCAAATTGTGAATGAGTTAAATGAAAGTTTTCAAGTACACGTCAGTGATAATGAAGTAGAATTAAATTTAACAAAACTCGTTCCAAGTACTTCTGCTAATAGTAATAATAACAATACACCTATTAAAAAAAAAGTGTTTAAAAGTCCTCGAAAAAGAGATTGGAACAGAAAATTAGAAACTTTAAGATCGAGCTCTAATGAAACTGACACTGTTTTAGCTGCTGTAAAACAATTGGATAGTATTGCTGAAAGAGCTCAAAAATTAAGTAAAAAAGAAGACAGTTTTGATCAGTTTGGTAAATATATAGCATCGGTATTAAGAGACCTACCACTTAAAAAAGCATGCTTATTACAACAAAATATAACCAACATGATTATGAATGAAATAATAGAAAATAATAATGCAAATGTATTACACGAACAACAAAGATCTTCTAGTACAAATACGTATACAAGTGATTTTGGATCACCTGCAATGTTTGAAGAACTGTTATCAGAAAGTCCATTCACGGAGGCCGAAGATAGCAATTATATGATTACAGATTTATCAAATTCAGAAATGTAAATTGTTTTATATATTATTCTTGTTAATGTTAATAAGTATTAAGTATGTAAAAAAAAAGGAGTTGTTATTTTTTTTTTAGTTTTTTTTTGTTAAAATTTGTTTGCAATTAAAATATGTATGCAAAAAATTGAAAATAAAGTATTTAAAAATCTTAATTTGAAAAATAGGTGTGTATTTAAATATTTTTTTAACTTACTTCAATAAATTCTGCAAGAGCTGCGTATATTTCAGTACAAACTTCAGGTAGAAATTTACTAATGGTACTTTTAGGAACTCTAAAAAAATATTCCAAGCTTTTAAACGAATCGCCCGTAGCTAAGTAGCGAAGTGTTATTTTGAGTTTAGTATCTGCTGGTATAGCTTCCCTCATTGTTGTATTCAATTTTTGTATATTAAATTGAATTTTATTTAATAAAAAGTCAAAGTGGGTATCTGATAATCTTAAAATGTTTTTAAAATCTTCCGGATTTTCATTTCGTAATTCACGGGAAATAAACGTAGAGCCTCCATTATTGTTCCGTCTTTGAATCCACTGCCTTACCCACCATCTTCTTTTCCTTCTTCTTTTTAACTTAAATTTGTCAATTTCTGTTAATCGCCGTTTTAGTTGTTTAGCCAATACACCGGACAAAACAGCACATGCTTCCGCCACTAACGATTCCATCTTACTGAATGAGAATTGCGTTCACGTGTAAACACCTTCACGATTCATGTGTTTCTTTTTGAAACCACGCTCGTGAGTCACGATTCACAAGTTCGTGAAATACGATCGTGGCTCACGTCTCGTGTAAACCCACCTTAATTGATAATATTAAGTTCCTACTTGAAAAAAAATTTGTTTAGAGTACCTGTTGGAGACTATAAAACTTGAAACGCTAATAATACACTTAACTATTGATTCTTAATTTATATCTTACTTAATAATACCATATTTTATTATATTATTATTAATTATTTTTTTAATAAGGAATTGCAGCTGGTCATAATCATTAAAAATCTATTATAGAAATAATTAAATACAACTATAATCAAACAAATAAGAATACAAGTATAATTATGGATTTTAATACCCTTTTAAAGTCTTATTTAATACTTATAATTTTATTGAGCATTTTGGAACTATAACTGTAATAAAAATATTAATTCAATTTACAAAATATTAACCTATTGCCAAAAAATATTTGCACTTACTTGCAAATAAGTAAACTAATTGCTTGATAATTATTTGTATGTAAGTTGTAAATATAATGTATTAAATATTAATGTTATGTAAAAACAAATTGTTTGTATGATATAATATTATATATGATAACATAAATTAATAATAATATTATAATTATTTAAATACATGAATACCTACCTACCTCCTAGATTATACTTATTCTAACATTACTTCATATAAATTAAATGCAATTAAACATAAAGATATCTAATGATGAAAACAATAATAATATAATTATTAACTTACTTACCTAAAGCATTATTAAAGTAGTCTTCAAATTGTTTTTTTACAATATCATCAGTTGTAGGTCTTAAGAAGGATGATGCTTCAGCAGTACTAATTGAATGATTATGCTCATTATCAAATTTATAATTGCTGGTAATCCATCTTAAAGACAAAACAAAAAATAAACTATGCATTAGAAAAGTGACATATTATGACGTATAAGTAATATATCAAATAGTTAATTAATTTACCTTAATATAGTGATCCTTTTTTTTTAGTATTAGAATTAGTTAATTTAATTTTAATATCAATTTTACATTCACATCCAGTGTTTTTTGATTTTCCTTTTTTGTTTAAGGCTTTATCAATTTTATTAGCACCACTATGATGACATATGTATATTTTCCTGTAAAGTTTTTTTCTCAAAAATATATTGTTGTTATATTTTTGTTGTCTTATTTGTAATAACTTATAAGTAACAAATTCATTAATTAATCTAATAATAATATTAGTAATACTAACTTACCGAATAATATATCTATTAGATTTAAATGATTTTAGTACACACCAACTTGTTTGTGTTTGTTGGGAATAATATTTTATGTAATTATTAATGTCATTTTCAGTTAACAGATTTGCACGGAGTAAACAAGGATTAATTTCAATAACATTAAAAGAATCCATATTAAGAATATCTAAAGTTGTATTAAACAGCAAATTATGATTATTATACAAATATATTCATAATCAGAATAAATTCAAGTAATATCACACAACACAATACAGTATGTATCTAAAAACTATAAATAAATAAATAATAATAATTATAAACCTTGTAGTGATAACTACTTGATAATATAACTTCAGACTTCTAGATTTAAAATTATAATACCAATCTGCAATTATTATTATGCAGATTTTATTAAAATAAAATTATGATATTATTCAAAACCCTCTTATTTGATACTTATAATTTCATTTTATGGTATTAATCAACATTTTCATTTTATATAATAAGATATTTTGGGAGAAACTGTACTAAAAATATTTATAATAATTGTATACTTTATAATTGTTAAATATAATAATATAAAGTATTAATAAATATAAAATAATGAAATTTGCGCGGAAATTCAAATGAACCAATCAGAAGTCCCAATTGGTTTATAGGTGCCGAGACCGTACACAGAATGCTAATATGCAACCGGTTGGACCGTAAAAAGCGGCGGCGTGAACAGTCAGTGTAGTGGTTAACACATATACGACTACGTCAAACTTCAGTTTGGTTGATTTATTTCAGTTTGGTCGTGTTTTAGTGCTTTTTGGCCAGTAATTATATCAAAACGCTAAAGTAATCCTATATTAGATATGTTTCGAAAAAAACAAATGGCGCCAATGCGAGAGCAAGAAGACGTTGAAAACCCACCGGTTAAACTTTCACCAGTTTCACCCACGATATTAATCGCAGATCAAAATGTTCATTAAGTATTAAAAACTTATTCTTACCAAAAAAAGTTGGGAAAAATCGTTCAAATGGTTGTTTTTAATGTTGAAAAGGGTGGGGCTTTTTGTAAAGTGTGTGAAAAATGTCTTAGTAGGTAATAATCAAAGTGCTTTGCAGAAATCACAAGGTATTTTTAAATGTACCCCATTTACGAATTATCGAAAAGCTACTGATAAAAACTGGTAAGCTCTTAAAATACGCTTGTTCAGAAAATCATTCTAAGGCTTTAGCTTTAAACGAATTTTTTTACAAGGAAAAAATTAACCTATACATATACAAATGATTCAACAAAATAACACAGAAAAAATATAAAATAGAATTAATTTCTCCACGTTTGTGCATAGTGTTGTAACGTCCCATCTTCACATGCGTTTTGCGCGACGCTCTCGTGTCTTCTTACCTATAAAGTTATGTTTTGATTAACGAGGTCTCGGGGACTCGACCTCGGTGTGTAATATTAATATACTAGATCAGGGTTACCTTATTTAAGTAAAGCACAATTGTATAAATGTAACGTATATTTAACAAATAATTTAAGATTTATATAATAGAATGAAGGTTACCGATCCGGGTAGATTGACAAGCCGTGAGTGTGGATGGTGGATGGCTGCACGGATCGTTGAGGAGTCTTCTGGTCGTCTGTCTGCTCCTGGTGTCGCACACACACTCCTCGCACACACTCTCCTACACTACACGTATTCGTCCTTGTTATATACCTTAAATTGCTGCCTAAAAGCCTTAGGTCAGCAGTCGGCCCCGCTTGCCATTCCTCACACTCAGCGTTTTAACAACGTGTGCCCTACTTAAGGAATAATGTACGATGTCGATAGACGACAATCGTTACAGTGTTATTTTTTGGCAAAAGAATAAATTCCTCATACTACTAAATATGAAACATTATTAAATTAAGTAGTGCTAAAATTAAATCAAACTTTACTTGAGTGGGTGGAAAAACAAAACGACAGATCGACTTACATGAGTAAAAACACAGCTATTTAAATATTAAATTGTATTTCCACTATTCTTGAAACACATGACTCAAATGAATTCAGAAATAAATATTTTTCATTAATGGCTGACGAGTCGACAAATATTAAAAATATTTGTGAAATGACAATAATTATTTGTTTTGTAACAGATTGTGGTAAAATTAGAGAATTATTCTTATGCATCATTGAATTGTCTAGCACAAATGCGCAAACCTTAACAGAAACCATTGATCGAAAGTTAAAAAAAAGAGGACTCGACTATTCGAAACTTATAAGTTTTGGTTTGGTTTTGATGATGCTGTAATTTTTTTTTTTTTTTGATAGTATAACTGGAGTACGAAAAAGGCCATCTAAAATAGCACATAGAGAAATACCATATATTCATTGTAGAGCTCACTTATTATCATTAGCTTTAACTTCAGCTCGAAATAAATATGTTTCAATTAAACGAACCTTCCAAGTAGTTAAAGAAATTTATAAATTATTTCATTAATCCGCTAAACGTGAAATAATATTTCATGATATTCAAGAAGCTATAAATGAAAAAAAATTAAAAATACCGGAAACTATTGAAACACATTGGTTAAGTAATCATCGATCAATTCATGCAGTCAAAGAGTGTTATAAATCAATTATTTTGACATGTGAGTATATACACACTAATGGAGCAGATCTTGCATCACTAGCAGGAGGTATTATATTATTTTTAATTACATGGAGGTTATCCAGATATAATAAGAGTAGTTGGGTAAGGTAATAAAACACTTTATCGAAATTATCAATTTGTACAATACTTTATACCGCATAGGTACTAGATAGTATAAGTAAGATACTGTTTTATAATTGTGACTCTTCCATTATTCCTAAATGAGATTAAATAATATCGGCATTACTAACATTCCCCAATATCGTTGTATAAATGTCGACATTCACTAGTGAATGTTTACTAAGACCACAAATTTAATCAATAAGTTAACATTCACCAATGACTTTGATGAAAGACAACATTAACCGGTGACTGCCAGCATTCACCAACTGCAGTCATTCACACTATTCACAGTAACATATATATCGTATGTCGCGGTTTCCGCACTACGTAAAACTTAAATATATATATATATACAGTAGAAGCCGCTTATTAGAAACACGGATAATTGATACAATCGTGTTATTGAAACAAAATGTCTCGGGACGGATCGGCCGTATATTAGAACATTGAAAATAAATCGGATTATTGAAACATCACATCGGTTATTTGAAACAATTGGGAGAAGGTCAGTTGACATATACACCGATTATCTAGCGATAACCAATGTACTTCAATTTTATCTTTGCTGTCGTTACGTTTATTTTTACTGTAATTTATCGCGAGAATGCTCTTTCTGTACGTACTGGTCGTACCGTTTGTAGTTTAGCTTCAGCGTGCGTATGTAAAGATTATTAGTGTTTTCTTTTTCTAAAAATCTAAAAATGTCTAAACGCTAAGATTTTAGCCAATTTTCATGCGACCATTCGTGGTTTGAAACTCATTTGACCGATTTGCTAGCCCAATACACACGCTCTGATATTTTCAATGCGGACGAGACTGGGCTTTATTTTGGAGCTCTACCTGAACACACATACGCACTCAAAATAAGTGACAAAGCTAAAGGGGCAATATTACTCGTATGAAAATATGGTAATGGAGTTACTCGACGTAAAAAAACAAATTACGAATGATAAATATTTTACATAATATCGTAAAATATACACAATTGTACATACTTTTTTAAATTATACAATATAGGTACATACATACATACATATTTTTTTCGCGTACCTATTATTCATTTTTTTTTTTCAATCGCTTATTAGAAACAATCGGTTAATTGACACAATTCACCTTGGTCCCAAAGTGTTTCTAATAAGCGGCTTTTACTGTATATTGTATCTCGCAGTCGTTTCTGTATTGATGCGTGGTCGTCCGTTCATCGTTGACTTAATATAATATGGTGCTTCGCGGTCTCTGTCGAGTAACGATCATTCAACATGTGTAAACCATAGAGTAATATAGAGGAGCCGTTCAATTTCATATTGAGGCGAACAAGGTCTACTTGCAGTGTGACCAAATAACAAGGAACAAAACTATTGTTGAACTTTTTCTTTCACATAATAATAGGTACTTCTTTAGTATAATATAATGTTATGCACCATTTGCATAAATGAATGTTCAATGTACAATAACTATTAAAATTATAATAGGAAAGTTGGGATTGCGTCAAAAACTTAATAGAAAAAAAAAAGAAATATTATTGATACTTGAAATAAGCTTTATTTTGATGAAACAATCATGAAAAAGACATAAATATTAGAATAAGATATAGATTATATAAATATTTTAATAACATAATACATTTATCGATTTAGTTATAAGAATAATGTATCATAATCATTATAATAAGTGTTCGTACATTCATCATAATGATTATATTATACAAATAGACATATTATAATAAAATAATATTTATAGAAAATTACCACCTACTCATTACTCGTGGCAGCTTTCTCACCAATGATGTAAGTGTCCTAATCTTAAAAAAAAATATATAAATAGACATTAAATTGAGTTATAATTAAAGTTATAGTTTATTATTAAATATATTTGAATAATATGCAGAAATCATTATAAATAATACAAATAAAAGTTGTATTCACTGTCCTTTAAAAAGTGTAAGTTTATTATATCACATGCGAATTGAATGAATTTCGTTACATGATGTTTGATTTTCAAATTTATTTATGTAGAAGCAATTAATTTAATAAAATTAGAAGAGTTGGGTGGTCTAATAATGGAGTGTTGCTTTCTTGGCTATGAGTTTTCAGAGAGCTAAAAATATAAGAATTATGTAAACAGTGTTTCAGTTTGATAACTGTACAATTTTAATATTTTTTCAGTTTGAAAACACACTAAAATAACGCTTTCACTTGGATAACTAAGACCATTGTGATTCCCTCTTTTGTTTTTTAATGTAATTAAAGAATTTAAAAATTCATTTTTTTCATCAGCATATAATGATTTTAGGGATATTTCACAATTAAGAACAGATGCTAACTTATAAACAACAAAACCAGCAATATATATTGTTTACGCATACTCTTATTGTTTTATTATTTTTATCTGATATTATTTTATATTATTGTTTTCGCTGCATGGAAAATGTGTTATCTCATTATTGTCTACGCTGTGCACGATAAGTGCAGGTGTTTGTGTTTTCCATGCATGTTATCTGGAATTATAATTTGGATAATATGCGTGGAGGATTATGGACATTTGAATTTATCCCGAAAATTGTACGTCTATCGGAAGTTAACTATTGGGTTTTTCGTGCCTTTTATCACAAAACGCGAGACCGACTTGGTGTAATCACTGATTCACCGGGTATCTTCTCGTGTTTCTGTCACAGAACACGGGACCTACCCGGTGTAATTGCCGATAGACCGGGTATAAAAGGCCCCACGACACAACCATCAATACCATTCTCCGTTTTTCCGACTTTGTAGTAAGATCCACCCGGGCAGACTTGCACAAAGTAGGAAAGGCGGCTTCCCAGGCCACACTTATCGAACGGTTTGTTACTCATTTTTAGTATTATTGAGTGAGGCAAGACTGTATTAAACTGCTTTCTCTCATAGTTCTAAGCTTTACAAAAAAAAAAGTGAAGAGACAAAACAAAGTGTCTAATCTCTGGAGTGTATTTTTTTGGTACTTTATGCCCTAAATTTTATTTTTGCCCAATTACTAATTAAATGTGTATGCTTACCAAAAGAATCAAGTAAAACATTACTTGCCTCATCATTAATTACATTTTCTTTTTGAAGTTTTAGTATAATGGATTTTAATGACACAATTTTATTATTTTGGCGACTAATGGTTTGCTTTAATACCTTTAACTGTTTATTTTTAATTTATATTTTACTAGTCAACTTGTAATTCTACAATTTAAAAATTGACGTTTAGGCGTATTAGTGTTTTCTGGTTGACTTGCGACCATATAACATGAGGAATAATTTTTCTAGAACAAAATAAAAAATAAATTCAATTTTTTTAGAATAAAATAAAAATATAATTTAATTTGAATAAAATATATTAAATTTTACCTGACAACTAGGTTTCTTAATTGAAAATGTTGATGAAGATTCAAATAAAAGATTATTTATACTAACATCTAACGATCTCTGGGGAGAAAATTCATTTGATGTAGATACTGGTTTTGACAGAATATTGTTTAATGTAATATCTAAATCCGGAATAGAAACAATTTCGTTGAATGTAGATACTCGATCACAATAAATATTATTTGTCAATATCTAGAAAAAATTGTTGGATTATTATTATTTATTATTATTATCACGAAGATAGTGATTGTAGTATTATTTATACTTATGGATCTTCACAGGAAAAGTTCCAAAAGAATCCAACATGGCGTCGTTACTCTTATCACTATGGTAATAGATAATTTATTAGTTATCAGCATTGTGTCATCACGAACTAAGGTTATCATAAAATAATAAAAATAATAATAAATAATAAAATAATTCTGAGGTTAATTAAAAATAAAAATTAAACAATAATTCAATAATAATAAATAATACAAAATACAATTTTTGTTTTATTTTGTTTTAGGATCAGTTTGTGAATTAACCATCCATGTGTAACACTTTTATTATGACTGGCGATAATTTGTAATATCTTGAATGACCTTTTTTGTTTTGAAATCTTAATGATCCTTTCAAAACATTTATCTCGCACTAACAACATTACTGCATTAATAACTCAATCGAGTCTTCTGCATTGCTTTCCTTCTAGATAGCAATATTTAATATTTTTATGAAGAGCTTCAAAATACATATTCGTGTTGATACCAACATGTCTGCGATTGAAAAATGCCCATTTTTCAACTCTTGAAGAATAATTGCTCGCAAAATATTGACCAAATCATCAGTATTTGTATCATTTTTTAAATCTTCAATGACTGTTCAAGATATATTTCGCTTATCGCGTTGCTTGGTGATATTTCGGTGCCGAGATTCAACGATCTTTTTGCGTGATAAGCTCGTCGAACTTTATCGTCACCCTCCTCTCCTCTTGTTGGTGTCGAATCGGCGTTTTTGTTCAGTGGTGGACGTATCTTTTGAATCCGTTTTTTTTCTCTCCGCACGACGGTCGTCAGATGAGACGTCGCCCTTGTGACTTCTGCGTGGGTTCTTTCTAGGGGTCTCGTTTTTGTATGTGAATATGAATGTACGTGTTAACGGATACCGTGATCACGTGAATGAAACCAATTAAATCACGTAAAGTTAATAGACGTGAATCAACGAAAGCTTAATCACATGAAAACGTATTTGAATCATATTCACGTGAATACGTGAATAAGTATATTTACGTGAAAACTAAATGATAAATATGCCCAATATCAACTATTTTAAATGTATTGTTTAATTTCACCACTAGGCCTGTTGCGTGTTTATCTTATCTGGTTGTTGGATAAGTAGTGGTTAGTGATGTGAGCTCGGTAAATTTACCCGGTAAAATTTACGGGTAAAAGTAAATTTACGTAAATTTTACCGAGCTTTTTTTTACCTGGTAATTTTTTTTTACCATTGAAAAAAATTGAGTGACCCCTTATTTTAAATGTTTTTACAAGTGGAATACGTTTATTTAGTTGGTATTTCTGTATTTTAGTTTATTATCTATATGAGTTTATGACTATATTTAGATTTATTTAATAAGTAAACATTGACAGTGTAGTAGTTTGTACTAGGTACCCTGTGTATTAATAACATGCGCGATTGCACGAATAAGCATGATAAATTTTATCGTTGTTTGTTTCCAAGTTTTAAAATTAGCTGACGGTTATCGATGTTATTTGTTATCGTTTATTACTAATTATGATTATTATAATATTATTAATTACTATTTTATGTTCCTGATTACGATTATCATAAATGTATGAACTTAAAGATTAACGACGTAAATGTAAATTATATTATATTTTATGAAAATTATTTCAAAATAACTAATAAGTACCTACTTAAAAAATGAAACCAAAAATGATAAAAACCAAATGCTATATTAAACATGGTGACAAGTATTTGTGTAAATATTGTGAAAAAAGTTACAAGGAAAATGTTACGAGAATGGCTCTACATATTAAAAAAGAATGTACAAAAGTACCAAAACATATACTGGACAACTTTTCATCAAAGTATTTACGTAAGTAGCTCATCAATTTCACATACCTAATAATAAATAATTTATAAAAAACGTTTTGAACTATTCTTAAAATATTATCATTTTTATATTTATTAGGTACTTATGTTGAAAAACCTAATGAGGAAAATAGCTGCAGTAATTTGACCAATTCGACACCACCTGAAGTTGAAACCAAAAACTCAAAAGTGTCTTGCCAACAAAGTGTATTGAACTTTGTTGATACTATGAGCAATGAAGAAAAGGTAAAATAGTTAATTATTTGTATTTATATCTGTAAAAAATCATATTATACATTTTAAATGGAAATATAATTTGATAAGTTCTCATTACACACTACTATTATTAATACTATTACAATAATACTATTTGTGACTTAAAACATAATATTATATAGATAAAAGTACTTCAAATTTGTTATTTTTATGATAGGAATTATATTATATTTAAAATCAAATAATTAAATTAATTTGTGGGAATACAATGTATTTCTTATATAAATATGACAATATCTAATTTATAAATTTAATGTATGAAATAATGTTAGAAATTTGAAATTATTTTAGTTGCGTCTGGATGAGTTAATGGCAAGAGCTATATTTTCTTCTACTGTACCATTTTCAATTGTAGAAAACACTCATTGGATTAATTTTTTTAAAGCTCTAAGACCAAGTTACACACCTCCTTCACGTTATGTCTTATCCAAAAGACTTTTAAATAATGAGTATGAAAGAATTAATTGTGAAGTCAACAATAAGATTAAAAACAGTAAAGTTTATGGAATTCAAATTGATGGTTGGAGTAATATAAGGTTAGTTAGCATCAAAAAACTGTATCATAGTAAAACTGTAGCATCAATATTTTGATTTATGTTGAAGTTAGTTATAATTTTATTATTCATCTACATTATTTTAACCTAATTTAACTTGGTAAATAGCTAAAATAATTGTAGTTTATAGTTTGCCACAATGTTCAAAAGATTAAATTATTTTTAATGTTAAATTAAAAATTAATTATTTATTTAAACTAATTTCAATAGGTACCTAATAAGTGGTAATAACTTTTAGGTACATATTTTTTTTTTTACATATTTTTTTATTTAAACACATTGTTATATTATTACTTATTAGCTTTCATGTATATTATTATCTTATATACAAATACAATTTAAAATAATAATCATATAAATATTTCAGAAATGAGTCCATAATGAATATCATAGTTACTACTCCAAAACCATTTGTATTTAAAACAATAGATTGTAACACAGAGCGTCATACAGGGGAATATATTGCTACTGAACTGGGTAAAGTGATTGATGAATTGGATAGAAATAAATGTCTTGGAGTTGTTACAGATAATGCATCATCCATGAAAAAAGCATGGATACTTTTACAAAAAGATGACCGTTACAAAAATTTACCAATTGCATTTTATTCATGTATTTGCCACACTTTAAATCTTTTGATAGCTGATATAATTAAATTAAAATCATGTATGGAAATTGAAAAAAAATCTAAAAACATAGTCAAAAATATAATTAGCAGTCATATTCTTAAAGGTAATGTATTTAACAATAAATTATATATAATATAATATATAATTATATTATAGTAGCTATTTAAAATAATACACTGTACCTGATGTAGTAATGTATTATTGTATGACTTTTTTAATAGCCAACTTTACAAACATTCAAAAAACAAAAAAAATTGACTGTTCCTTAAAACTACCAGTTAAAACAAGATGGGGTTCACTTTGTATATGCTTAAAGAGTCTTCATAAAAATAAAAATGTACTACAACAGCTAGCTGTCTCTGAAGATTTAAGTGCAAGTGATATTTAGATATACCTATATAAATGTTATAATATTTACATAATATATTCAATAAATGATAAAAACAAAAACTAACAAGAAATATTATTGATCAAATTATTTTGTAGGTAATTGAAAGACTTGACAAAAGTGTAAAACAAAGCATTTTATCAGATGAATTCTGGGAGCTTGTTGAAAGTATTATTACTCTAATTAGTCCAATCACTCTTTGGATAACAAAATTAGAGTCTGATATACCAAGGTTGTCTGATGTTCCGGCTGCTTTGAATGATATAAAAAACAGTGTTATGTTGCAAATGTCTACTTCTCCTTTACTCTTAGAAGAACAAAATATTTTAAATGAAGCATTTGATAAACGTTATGATATGGCTATTCATCCGATTCATTATGCAGCAAACGTCTTAGACCCAAAATATCAAGGGAAAGATTTACCTCAAGGATGTGATGTAGAGGGAATTGTTTATATACAAAAAGTTGCTGATAAATTATTAACACCAAATGAATATAACAAGGTAAATATACAATTGTTATAAATATTTCTGTATTATGTTTTTTCATCAAATAACTACTTATTTCATACTTGTCAGTGTTTTATTAAATAATAATATTACTTTGTTAAATAAATTATACAATTAATGGGTACTATCAATGAGATCATATTAAAATATTATTGAATTGTAACCTATTGTTTTGACTAAAAATTAACTGTTTGTAAATTTAATATTTTTGCATTGGTTTTTTGTGTATTTAATTTTCATTTTATTTCACAGATAATAATTGAACTAGCCGAGTATCGTTCACACGAAGGATTATGGGCCAAAGACATTCTATGGAACAATATTGGTGATATTGAAGCACGTATCTGGTGGAATGGCCTTTGTTCAAACACAAGTCTATCAAAAGTAGCATCTGCTATTCTTTCCTTGCCTGCATCCTCAGCAGCTACAGAGCGTTCTTTTAGCTCTTATTCACTCATCCATACTAAAAGGAGAAATCGCCTCACAAATTTAACAGCCAAAAAGTTACTGTTTATTTATGAACATATGATAAATAATCGAGACCTGGAAGTGTCAAAACCGGTAAAAAGTGTACAAACAAACCAAGAATCTTTAACCGTTAACAATGACGATGATGAGCCTTCCTGTAGTTATCAGGCTTGTAGTTCTACTAGTTCTAGTAGTGAGAACGAGGAAGAATATTACAATACTGATGACATAGTAGTAGAGTCTGAAGGAGATCAGTTTGGTGAAACAGATTCAAGTGATGATGATTTTTTTAACTCCATTAAACTTAATCTTGCTTAAGTAAATATATGTTCCTAACTTAAATTAAAATTTTAATTATTATTATGTATTAGGTACTGTATAAGTCTGCAGACAGTTTTGTTATTGATTTAAGTTTTCTTGTTTTTTAAAGATATGTTACTTATTTTGATATTTGTTCTGTTGTTTATTATATTATAAACTATTAATTTATTTGTTTTATTTTGATAAAAGTAATTATATAAAAAAAAAACAAAGTAATTGAACTATTGAAGTAATGTTTTTATGTTTAATACAAGTTTCATGATTTATTTTACATAATATAGTTTTATGTTAATTCATAAAAATGGTGAAAAAAGGTAAGAAATTTCAAATTTGATACATAAGCTTTATTTGAAAATTGTAGAAAAATTTCACTTAAAATTAGTTTTTTTTCAAAATTTACCAATTTACCGAATTTTACGTAAATTTACGTAAATTTTACCGGTAAATTTACCGAAATTTTTTTACCGGTAAATTCCACATCTCTAGTAGTGGTGTACTGGGAAATTTTTTTGTGCACGTAGTAATTAACGGTGTCTGGTTGCGAAAATAGAACTCTATCGTCGTTGATAATAAGATACTAATGTAGTATACGAGTATACGATGCGTTTAGTTTGAGTGCAATCATTAAGTGATCGCATTCATCAAAAATATGTTTTCTTGACAAAATGGTGAAAAAAAAAGTTGGGTATGGGATTTTGCCAAATGTGAAGGTGATCGGGCCTTTTGCGATTTATGTGACGGTGAAAGTAATAATGAATATTCTTGTGTAGGCGGCACTACAGGGTCTTAATAAGACATTTACAAAATGTCCATGATATTGCACCACTAGATGAGTCTGTAAGAAAGAGGTAATTAATAAATTATATTTTTATTTATTTATTTATTCGAATAAAATAATTGTTAATTTTCTTAAATAAAACGTTTATTTAATGTTGTCAAGAGTTTGAAATTTATTAATTCAATTCAGTAAATTTGTTTTTTTGCGAAAAATAAAAATTAATTTTTTAGATTAATTATTATCGGGTTGCGCACGCCTTACTTTTTTCTTTTATGAATGTTTAAATAAAAATATGCAAATATATTTTTAGGTACTCCTTACATTTTTAAGGGCTGCATATAAATCGCGTCCCCGATATGAAAATTGCGATTTGTGAGTTTGTAACTTATTAATTGCGTTCCGGGTTTTAAATAATGTATTTACATCGGACGCAATTAGTGTAGTTGTTAAATATTAATGGGACGCAAATTTTCTGTACATTTTTACGAAAGATTTAATAGTCCCAAAAAAATGGGAGGGTACTGCATCAAAAATTTAAATTTAAAAAATAAAGATATCCCTAGTGTACATTAATATAATTTCTATTTGAGTCATATTTTCATAATCAATTAATATTTATAATATAAATAAATACATTTTGTAGGTCAAAATTGGGGTTCAAACGTGTATCTAATGATTTAGAAGTAGATTCTACATTGAGTGATACAACCTTTACCAATATAGATGATGATACAATTCTAATTAACAATACTACATCATCTTCTTCAAATTCTGAAAATATCAAAAAATCTATATCTAGAAAACGTCGTTGTATTCCTAAAAAATGTGGGTCAAGTGTTAATCGAGAATGTAATTCTGAAAGAACAGAACAAATTCACCAGGCACTGGCTTCATTGATTGCAATGAATCAGTTACCTATGTATATCGTTTTGCTCGAGTCCTGGGTTTTGTCAATTCATGGCTGTTTTAGAGCCTAATTATAAAGTATGCAGAGATGAAGTAATGAAAAAAGGCTACATTCATTAAAATCAAAAGTTGAGAATAAAATAAAAAATGAATTAAAAAATGTGAAAAGTTTAGTTTGTACCACTTATGGTTGGTCTTCAATGGCACAAAACTCATACATATCATTAACTGCTCACATAATAAATAACGAATGGTTACCAAAGTCATTTACTTTAGCCACACAAAAGATGGAAGAACAACATACAGCTGTAAATCTAGCAGAAAAATTAACACGTATATTAGATGACTGGGAAATTAATGGTAAAGTTTCAACTGTTATCACAGATAATGCAAAAAATGTGGTAAATGCTGTCAAATTACTACTTCTTACTATAGACAATGAAAACATGGATGTGACATGCGCAGCTCACAGTCTACAATTAGCCATTAGTACTGCATTAAAAGATGAAATATTTTCAGAACTAATAAAACAATGCAGTTCTTTAGTTGGACATTTCAAACACTCAAATGTAGCTAAACAGTCATTATTTAAAAAACAAGAACATTTAGGAATTTCCTCATCAGTTACTGGTTTAATATTGTAACACACGATGGAACTCAATATACTTAATGTCATACTGCCTTTTACAAAATAGAACCTCAATTTTAAATGTATTAACAGACAGAACTGTTACGTCTTTGTATATTGCTCAAAAATTAGAAATAACAGAATCACAATGGTTAAAAATAGAAATTCTCGTAAGTCTTCTGAAGCCACTATTTATTGTGACAAATTTATTTTGTTCTAAGAAACATTCACCAGCGTCGATGGTTAGACCATTACTCGCACAATTAATGGAAAATTAATTAAAAGAAAAAGAAAATTATGATCAAAATATCACGTATTTTAAACGTACAATAATACATGAAATTAAAGAACGATTTAAACTTGGCTGGAATGAAATAAGTTCTGTTTCTGTCAAACAAATCGCGTTAGGTTAGGTTAGGTTAGGTTATATTATTATTATTTGGCTCCTTACTAAGTTTTGTTATATTGTTTTTTATATACGATCCACTGTTGGCTGATCACCTCTGTGGAATTGTCATTGTATTATTTATTATTTATTATATTCCTATACCAGTATATATTTACCTTGTTTAATTTGTTATTATTTAATTTATAATCTATTGGAAAAGTATTGTGTACCCGTCCTACCCATTTAGGTGCAAGTCGTAGACGCCGACCTTAGCGAGGGAGCGGTTGCGGCGTAAACAACCATAGATTTATTTTCTTGTGAGTGAATTTTGAAAAGGTTTTTACTCCAATTTCTTAATACGTGCCAAGTACATAATAGTTGCTTAGAAACCGGACCTATAATAGATTGTATTGCGTTATAAAATGCAGGTTCATCGTCGGACATAAATAGATTGGCTTTGATAAGTCCTACTGCACGTTGGATACATTCAAAAAATAATTTATATGTATATGTATCTGATTTATTTGTAAAACAGAATGCAACAGGAAAACCATTTCAACAATTGTCTACTACAAGTAAAGTATACAACTGAAAGTTATAACTATTTAAACCGTATGTTCTATCTACACATATTATATCACATCCAAATTTTTTTAACATTTCAGCTTGGTATTCAGTCATTAAAATTAAACAAAAATCATCCCGAGTCAAATGTGTTGTGGAATCTTCACCTTGATGCTTAAAATATAACACTGGATTTATCTCACCTTTTTCTTTTATTTGATCTACCCACAGGTAAACACTAACAAAATCATTTTCATCTATCTTTGTAGAATAATTATCAATTTTAAAATCACGTTTAATATTATGTATATCTCGTTTTTTTAACAAATAGATTTTTTTTAAATCAGTTATAGTAGCAGAATTTTGAACATCATTTAAGACTCGTTGTACTGTTAGACCCATACCTAGTTTGCCTAAAAAAAATGTAAACATAAATATTTTTAAAATATGATTTTTTACTTTTAGGATATGCTATAAATAAAAAAGTATTTATCCTAATACTTTTTAATTTTTAATTTTTAATGTAACTATACAAAAGTAAATTAATCATATTTTTTGCATTTTATTACCTATATGAGTACCTGCTAATTGGCATCTGTCTTCAGTATATAATCTTTGTTTCCCTATTTCATTATCATGAAATAAATGAGTACTACAAAATTATATCTGAAATTGGGCTCCATTTTTTTATACTTTAATATATGATTGACAAACCTTTCCAATTTTTACCGAACCACTGCTTTTAGGATTCCTTTGACCCTTAAGTATAAAATGTATCTCATATTTTAATAATATAATTTTACTTTATAGGTCATTTTTTTCAAGTTGAAAAAGTGTTATTAGTAAGTAAATAATAACTTATTACCTTGCTAGCTAATCTTGATGGTATGATTGTTGACAAATATAATATGTGTATTCTACATTATGGTAAGTTTTAGTAGATGTACTTTGAACATATTGACAGATTTTGGTGTCTTCAATATTGGTTTTCCATTTCTTAAATTCTAAATCAAATAATTGTTTTGAAAATTTTAATTTTAATTATTGGTTATTATCTATTTGTAACATTTTTAATAAATCAGGATACCTTCTATAGTATTGAAACTTAGTGATTTTATGTTGATGTCAATGTTGTGATCATTTTTTAAATGCTTGGAAAAACATTTTAATGTTTTATAAGATCTGTTACAATTCTCAACTGAGCATTTAATTTTTAGATCATTCTGTTCCTGTTTAAGATGTTTGATTATACTTTTTTTTAAATTAAACTTTTGTGTTTAATTACGGCCTAACATTTATAAAACTTGATATTATAATATGTACCTGTGGTAAAAAATCTATATTTTTTCTTTTTAAATGTTTATTCAAATTAGATACAGTTGAAAATGTAGTATAACATGGAGCACAATCTCTGGAACTCATTTCTCTAATATTGTATTGTAATATTAATCATAAAAATAATAATTAATTGTAAAATTAATTTTATACAGTTAGTTAAGATGACAATTTAGAGATGGGATTTTCAACTCATTTACATGAGTCAGTTCACTTGACTCGGTTCACTCAAATGAGTTGACTCGGGGAGTCAACTGAGTGAATCAACTCCCAATTTCCATTGACTCCCATTAACTCCTAGTTATCAGTTAATTAAATTAAACAACTCTCGTAAGACAATTCGTTTGAGTTACTTCAGAGTATTAGATCATCTATCACTAAATATATGAACTATTGATTTATAAAAATGTATGAAGACCTTATTTTATTAATTAATTTTAATTTACTAAATTGTTTTTGTTGTTTAATGCAATACAATAATATGTCATATACTTGTGTGTTTATTATTTAGTATGTATATTAAAATATTATAAAATGAGGAATTAATTTGAACTTTTATTTTATATACAAATTTAATTTAAAATTTTATATTATTGTGAACATATGAATGTTTTATTAAATATATATAATATATATATATTATATATATATATTAATTATTTATTATATTTTTTTATTTATTTATTTTTCAAAAAAACAATGTGCCCCACGAGTTCTTAATTTGAAATACAAATTCATGTTAAATATAATTAGTGTATTCGTTTGTTTTTTCATAAATTATATTTTGTGGACAAATACAACGAAATGGAACACTACAAGGTAGCATAAATAGCTGTTTTATTTTAAATATAAAAATTATAAAAATATAATTTTATAAATTAGAATAAACATTGTACCAAACTACTAATATATACTAAAATGCTGATCTTAAAAAAAAAAATAATTAAATATCGCATATATATATATATATATATGTGTGTATAGAATATATTATATATTATATATATTTTTATAGAATACAATTATTTCAACAACTAACTTAGTGGTAAACCAAACTGAAACGTCCTTACAAATTCCATCTAATGAACATGCAATTCGTCCTCAAAGTTCTAGATTTGTGAATAATCTCATTACTCAATACGATATTTATCTAAGCCTCTAGGTGCATCACGCCGTAAAATTATAGATCAACAAGTTCTGAAAATGGTTGTGAAAAAATACTATCCCTTCAGTATTGTTGAAGATAGAGAATTTGTACAGTTTTTAAATTTGTTAAATCCCGGTTATACTCTTGCATCGAGAAAAACGTTGTTGAAATCATTATTACCTATAATGTATAATGAAATACATGATAAAGTGAAACAAGACATAAAAGACCATGCAAAATATGTAAGCAATACCACCGATAGTTGGACTTCTATTAAAAATGAAAATTAAATTGCTGTCACATGCCATTTTATTAATAATGAATATAAATTAAAATCCTATCTTCTTTCTTGTTTCAAAAATTCCGAATCACACTCTTCAGAAAATTTGAAAAATCATTAATTCTAGTTATCAGTTCATTAAATTAAACAACCGTATGATAATTCATTTAAGAGTTACTTCAGAGTATTAGATCATCTATCACTAAATAATATATATGAACTATTGATTTATAAAATGTATTAAGACCTATTTAATATTAATTTTAAGTTACCAAATTGTTGTTGTTTAATGCATTACAATAATATGTCATATACTGTGTATTTACTATTTAGTATGTATATTAAAATATTATACAATGAGAATTAATTTGAACTTTTTATATACAAATTTAATTTAAATGTTATATTATTGTGAACATATGAATGTTTTATTAAATATATATATATATTTATTATATTTGTTTATTTATTTATTTTCAAAACAATGTGCCCATGAGTTCTTATGAAATACAAATTCATGTTAAATATAATTAATGTATTCGTTTGTTTTTCATAAATTATATTTTGTGGACAAATACAACGAAATGGAACACATAAGGTAGCAGCTAAATAGTTTTATTTTAAATATAAAAATTATAAAATAATGATTTTATAAATTAGAATAACATGTACCAAACTAACTAATATGTACTAAATGCTGATCTTAAAAACATTTAAATATTATATAGCATTAATTATAATTCATTATAAAATCAATGCATATATAATTAAACTCTAATTGCATAGTGATATGTTATAACATGTCAAGTCCTGTTGTAGTATGAAAACTAATATGATTTGATGGTATAAAATTGTCATTAACAAATAATACATTGACTTAAATTGTCACATCTTAATTGGTAATCGTCTTGTATTCTTGTTCAGTTTATTGCCGTGCTCAAAGTTAGTGTTTCAAAATTGTAACATTTTTCACTTATAGTATTTAAATATTTAAAAATGAGTAAGTCCAGTGTTATTTGGATTATTTCAACTTGACTCAGATAACATAAATGTAAATGTGGTCTTTGTCGTACAAAATTAAAAATAATCGTTCTTCAACATCTAACTTAATTAGACATATTAAGTCTAAACATCCACCGTCAACTTATTGAATAGAAATACACGTGTATTAGAAGAGACTGTTGATGATCCAAATGATGCTCCATCAACTTCTACTACTGTAAGTTAAATTAAAAATATTTTGTCAAATAAAATTAAATAATTTTAAATAAATAACTAAATTATTTCATTAATAAGTTTTTATTTATTTATTAGTTAGGACTATAATACTAAATAATACTTATACTGTTATACTAATATTAAATATATATATACATTTTAGAATACAATTATTTCAACAACTAACCTAGTGGTAAACCAAACTGAAACGTCCTACAAATTCCATCTAATGAACATGTAATTCGTCCTCAAAGTTCAAGATTTGAATAATTCCATTACTCAATATTTATCTAAGCCTCTTGGTGCATCACGCCGTAAAATTATAGATCAACAAGTTCTGAAAATGATAGTGAAAGAATACTATCCCTTCAGTATTGTTGAAGATAGAGTTTGTGAACTTTTAAATTTGTTAAATCGGTTATACACTTCCATCGAGAAAACGTTGTCGAAATCATTATTACCTATAATGTATAATGAAATACATGATAAAGTAAACAAGACATAAAAGACCAGGCAAAATATGTAAACATTACCCGATAGTTGGACTCTATTAATAATGAAATTATATTGCTGTCACATGCCATTTTATTAATAATGAATGTGAATTAAAATCTACCTTCTTTCTTGTTTCAAAAATTCCGAATCACACTCTTCAGAAAATTTGAAAATGATTTATTGGCGGTCATAAAGAAATGGGCTTGGAACATAACATTGCTGCATGTACAACTGACAATGCACATAATATTGTTAAAGCTGTCGGTTTATGTGGTTGAGCAGGAGTTGCTTTGCCCACAGTTTAAATTTGGCAGTACAAACTGCTCTTAAGTCAATATCTGATACAAGAGATAAAGTAAGCGGAATTGTTGGACATTTAAGAGAAGTCCACAGGCAGCTGAAAACTTAGAGCTATGCAAGAGCAATTGGGCTTAACACCACCTTTATGCTCATCCAGGACGTCGTTACACGTTGGAACTCAACATATGAGATGTTTCAGCGTATTCAGAATCTTAAAGTTCCTCTTCTTCCGTACTAGTAGAGTGTAATTATAATGTTTACTTGACCAATGAAGACTGGCACATTATTTCAAGTCCTGTGAAGTATTAAAATATTTTAAGAAATTAGTAGAAATAAGTAGTGAAAAATCGGTTTCAATTTCAAAATCTGTTGTATTTAGTCGAGCACTTCTAAACATTGTACATACTTGGATACACAGTTTTATGATTCACAACAATTA